TTTGTCTTTTAGGATTTTTTAGGGCTTGGAAAAACCCTAGTTGTGGATTTAACGGGAGGTTGAATGTCCTCGGTTGCCATGGTTGAAGGAGTTGGATCTGGTGGAGTATCGGAACTTTGGCTTTGACGAGTTGAACGTCGAGATGGCAGAGGAACATTCTTCTTCGGCTTCACGGTGCCCTGCTTGGATTTAGGCATTGTCGAGAGATATAGATTCTCTTGAAGAAGGAAAATTAGAGAGTTTTAGAAGAATAAACAAATCAGAGATTATGATTTATATGAGAGAGAAGCAAAGGTGATAAGGATGATATAGGAAACATAAATCACAGTTACCAAGGCAGTTACAAGATGGTTCGGCTCGTAGAATTTGAAATTTGAAAAATTTTGACCAACACGACAAAGGACAATAAAAACCGTTCCCTCCAAAAAGATCACTTACTAATCTAATTGATACAGTTACCGTCTATAACGCATGAAGTTTCAGACACGAATATCGGCCAAATCATGTACCAAAAATAATTTTAGGCGCAAGATCGAAATAATATATGCCATGAGAAAGACTGGATGCACATACCTAAATAAGATACTTAACACGCAATACCCTTGAATTTTCTTTTTCACGCAATATTAAAAAGATCCATTAATTGATTGACCCAAAAATCTTTCCAAATCAATTTGAGATGAGCTCGACACTAACAAGATGATGAGAAAAATAAATTCTCTTCGTGCACAACTCAGCCCTTATTGCTCCCACTTTTATACACCACGGAATTAATATAAGTTCGTTCATCACTTTCTCTTAGCAAAAAACGAAATTTTCATTCGCAATTCAACCTAATACTTATAATGAACTTACTCCGTTCTATGAACTTCCACACCAGTTCACTTACTAACATCAACTATACGCCAATGTCAAGCCCATTACTTGAGGTGTGAATCATCCCGCAAAAAGTTTTAATTTTGAACAAGCTGAGAAGATATCAGGATGGCCAACCTTATTTCACCAGAGAACGTTCATTCTTAGAATGTTTACCTGTAGCCATCACACCTCGATTATTATTAGACACGTAACTCGTTTCACAGGTGATCAAGGAAGCACCTCATGTGATAGTTGCCCGATGCCTATTTTCACGAGAGCAGCTCTTACAAGTATATTAAAATGGTCATCATGATGAGCTCTTACAAACTGACCAGTTAGATTTCACATACCACCAATCAACAAACTCAACAATAAACGATCAGAGAAGAGTTCCAGGAATGAACCTACATACTAAGATGCCTAAAAAAAATCCTATATGGATAAATATTTATAGAAATGCAACTAACACAATGCACATAAATTATATAGTACACATTCCTAAAGATTTTCTCAGGGACAAAAATCGTTTCGAATCAAGAGCTTTGGTGAAAATATCAGCAAGCTGATCATCTGTAGGTACATGATCTAACACAATAATCCCATCTTCTACCAAATTACGAATAAAATGATAACGAATGTCAATATGCTTGGTACGAGAATGTTGGATAGGATTTTTTGAAATATTTATAGCACTAGTGTTGTCACAGAAAAGTTGAGCCGAATGAACGTTCATACCATACTCAGATAGAATCTGTTTCATCCATACCAACTGTGAGCAGCAGCTTCTAGTGGCAATGTACTCAGCTTCAGCAGTAGAAAGGGAGATGCAGTTTTGTTTCTTGCAGAACCAAGATACCAAAGTTTGATCCTATGTAAAAACACCCACCAGAGGTGCTTTTTCGATCATCAAGATTTTCAGCCCAGTCAGCGTCACAATAACCTGCAAGATGTAAGTTCGTATCAGTAGAGTAGAATAGGCCATACTCTGTTGTACCTCCAATGTACTTTATGATATGCTTGACTGCTTTCATATGTGATTCCTTAGGGGTAGCCTGATATCTGGCACAGAATCCAACACTAAAGCAAATGTCAGGTCTACTAGCAGTGAGATATAAAAGACTACCAATCATACTTCTGTATAGAGTTTGATCAACAGATGTACCTTCATCATCTTTGGACACTTTCACATGAGTGCCCATGGGAGTTTGAGGACATTTAGCAGTTTCAAGACCAAACTTTTTAACAAGGTTTTTTGCATACTTACCCTGATGCAAGAAAATACCATCTTTACCTTGCTTTACCTGAAGTCCAAGAAAGTACGAAAGTTCACCGATGAGACTCATCTCGAATTCAGACGACATAAGTTTCACAAAGTGATTGACCAGCTTCTTGGATGTTGATCCAAAGATGATGTCGTCGACATAGATTTGAACAGCCAATAGGTCCTCATTCGTTCGAAGAGCAAAGAATGTCTGACCTACTCCTTCTCTCTTGAATTCTTTTTCTAGAAGGTACATGGTAAGGCGTTCATACCATGCACGAGGCGCTTGCTTTAATCCGTACAATGCTTTCTTAAGCCTGTAGACATGATTCGGATTCTTGCGATCTTTGAACCCTTCTGGCTGCTTCACGTAAGCCTCTTCATGTAATATCCCATTCAGAAAGGCAAACTTCACGTCCATCTGATAAACAATGAACTTCATTAGACATGCAATAGATAGAAATATGCGTACTGATTCAAGTCTAGCAACGTGGGCGAAGGTTTCATCAAAATCAATCTCTTGATTCTGAGTGTAGCCTTGAGCTACTAGTCTCGCCTTGTTCCGTGTCACATTCCCGAACTCATCAGTTTTGTTCTTGAAGATCCACTTGGTTCCGATAACATTTCCCGAAGAAGGTTCAGGGACTAACTCCCAGACATCGTTTCTAGTGAATTGCTCCAGTTCCTCCTACATGGCTAAGATCCAGCACTCGTCTTTCAGAGCCTCTTTAGCATTCTTGGGTTCAAGGAGTGAGGTGTAGCAGTCATAATGAGAAACACCCATAAGTTCTTTGACTGACGTCTTCGAGTTTCTGGTTACTCTCTTGTTTATGTCACCAATGAATTGCTCGGATGGATGGTCTTTCTGAATCCTTAATGGTGGATCAAGCCTAAGTGACACAGAACCTTCTTGAGCCACAGGGACAATGTAGTCAGTTGATGTTTCAGCATCCCCAACAGAAGGTTCAGCTATCTCCTTGTCTGCAGAACTCTTAACACCCTGAGTATCCTGCAATGCCTCAACATTTTCAAACTGATTAAAGGATACAAAAGAATTAACTTGAGAATTTTTTTCATCAAAGATTACATTTACCGACTCAATCACACTGGAGGTACTTGTGTTGCAAACACGATACGCTCGACTATTGTTAGAATAACAAAGAAAGAATCCAATATCCGATTTTGCATCGAACTTACCAAGTTGGACACGATCATTATTAACATTTACACCCAAAAAAATGCAAGGGACTGAGGTTAGGGCTCTTACCTTTCCAGAGTTCATATGAAGGCAGACCAATACCTCGACGAAGGTACACACGATTCACGAGGTAGCATGTTGTATTGATTGCCTCAGCCCACCATCTGGAAGAAATGTTTTTGGAGTTCAACATGACTCTGGCCATTTCTTGTAGAGTGCGATTCTTCCTTTCAACAACTCCATTTTGCTGAGGATTTTTAGGAGCCGAGAACTCGTGACTAATACCCAGAGAATCACAAAATTCAGCAAACTCAGAGTTTTCAAACTCTCTTCCATGATCGCTTCGAATACTTATTATGGGAAAACCTTTCTCAGTTTGAACCTTCAAACAAAGTGACTTAAAGGCAGAGAATGTGTCAGACTTTTCACGCAAAAAATCAACCCAAGTATATCGAGAGAAATCATCAACGCACACAAAAATATACTTTTTACCTTGATAGCTTTCTACTTGAATGGGACCCATGAAATCCATGTGAAGAAGTTCTAGGATCTGTTTAGAAGCAATATGGTTCAGTGACTTGTGGGATGTCCTCGTTTGTTTACCTAGTTGACAAGGGTCACAAATTGGATGGTCCTTCACAGCAATCTTTGGAACACCCCTGACTACACCTGCATTGGTCAATTTGACAAGGTGAGAGTATCCAATATGTTGCCCTAAGCGTTGATGCCATATTTCAGGTTCTTTCACATTTGAGAAAAGGCATTTTTCATTAAAATCAACAAGATAACAGTTATCCGTTGAACGAGAACCTGTAAGTACACATGAACCTTCACTGTCTTTCACATAAACTTATCACATGAGAAACTGACACTAAGGCCTTGATCACAGAGTTGACTCACACTCAAAAGATTTGCCTTTAGTTCATCAACAAGTAACACATCAGTTAGTTTAGGTATTCCACCCAAATTTAAACAGCCAGCTCCAATAACCTTATTGTTCACTCCGTCACCGAATGTGACTTCCCCATTTGAACTGGGTTGAATGTTCAACCAGTAAGAAGGTTCACCAGTCATGTGTCTAGAGCAGCCGCTGTCCAGATACCACTTACCTTTCAGGGAGGTCCTGAGGGACAGAACAGAGGCAAAACAGTTGAAGGATTTCTTAGCAACCCACACTTGATGAGTTTTGGTACGGTTATTTGAGAGAGTCCTGGAATGGACCTTCACTGGAATGACAGACTGATTCCAACCCCTAACATTACATGTACAAAGATCATGCTGAATTTTATAGCATTTGAGTCTTATGTCACCAGTTACACCACAGTAATGACAGATAGAAACAAAGTTATGGTGAGTTTTATTAACAGATTTCTGCATGGGAGAATGAACCTTCAAGGGAGATTGTAGAGATAGAGGTTTACTTATAGTGCTTTTTACAAACCTGTCAAACACGTTTCTGGAAGGTCTCCCATGGAGGTTCACGCCTCCAACTCCAAGTTTGTCCCCAAATCAAGACCAGTATGTTTTGTGTTTGAAGTTCTAGTTGAGGGCTCAGGAATGTCTTCCCTACCAGTGTACCCTATTCCAATAAGATCAACATGTTGTCTTTCCAAGGAAAGAAGTTCATTCAGATCTACTTTTCTCTTGTTCAGTTTTCAAACAACTTCTGCAGTTCGGTTCAACTCAGCAGAATTTGCCTTCAGTTTGCTTTCCATGCTAGCATGTTCGTTCATCAGCCGATCAGCTTCATTTTTCAGTAGTATGATTTCCTGGTTCCGCTCGGCAAGAAGTTTCTGAGTAGAGAATGGTTCGATCCTCAAGCATTCAATGGTCTGAGCCTTCTCCAGTCCGTCTTGTTTAGCAAGTTTGACACTGCTCTCAAGGATGCAAGTTCGTGCCTTTGCAGTATCCAGTTCACACTCTTTAGTAGCAGTGGAGGCGAATGCTTGTTCGTTCAGCACCCTGTTTGCTCTTGAAAGTCTAAACACTTCATTTTGAAGCTTCTGTAGAGCTTTAGATGCTTGAGCACATTTTTCCATAGCAAGTAAGTGAACTGGATCTACACACACATTTTGATCTGCTTCATCCTCAGATGCTTCAGTTTCTTTCAAACTTTCTTCAAACTTGGTCGGAGCATGAGAAGTGGTGAGACACATGAACTTCTTGACTGAGGTATGAACTGCCAGGTTGCTTGTGTGTAACGAAGGTTCGTCTGTGCCTTCTTCATCTGAATCTTCCCAGGTTGCCTTCAATGACTTATTCTTCTTCTTAAGATTAGCACACTCATACTGGAAGTGTCCAAAGCCTCGACACTCCCTACATTGATCCTTCTCGACTCATTGTGAATCAGATTTTGAGAGTGGCATACTACTTTTCTTGTCCTGCACCACATTCTTGCTGAAATTGTTCCCCTTTTTTCCATCAAATTTGTTCTTGTACAGCCTTTGACTCATCTTCCCATAGTTTCGCGCGATTAAAGCTAGTGCTTCTTTCAGCTCAGTATCATCTGCCAACTTACCTTCATCGTCATCGCTTTCTTCTCTTTCCTCGACTACAACAGCTTTGAGAGCTAAGCCCTTACTTTTCACTTTGTCATAATTGTTGTTGATTTCAAAAGTTCTGAGCTCTCCAAGAAGTTCATCAACATCTAACGATGCCACTCTTTGGAAACTTTCAAGAGCTGTGATTTTCTCTCTAAACCTGGGAACGACGGTTCTCATAATATTTTGTACTTGATGTTTCTCACAGATTTCTTCTCCAAGCATCATGCTTTGATTTACCAGATCACAGAATCTGGCATAGTATACGTCAATTGTCTCTTCATCCCTCATTTTGATCTCATCAAATTCAAGAGTTACCCATTGAAGTCTGGATGCTTTGACAGCTGTTGACCTTCAAATTGACGTTGTAAGACCCTCCAAACATCTTTTGCATTTTTGCAATGAACTATCATCTTGTGTCTTGTCTGATCAACTGCCATCATAATCGCATATAAGGCACGATAGTTGGCTTCTTTTTGAAGCTTCTCAGCATCAGTCCAGTTGTCCTTAGGTTTAGAAACCGTGACTTTCGTTGTTTCTTTACCTTGATCTGGTGCTTGTTGCATGACTGGATGCTCCCAGCCATTTTCAACACTTTCCCACACGCCTTTTCCAAGCGATCTCAGAAAGATTGTCATCATAGACATCCAATATGAGTAGTTCGAACCGTCCAATTGTGGGGGCCTGGACATCGATCCGCTTTTTTGATTCATGATTTGAGGGTAACACACGTCCTAGGATCTTTCGTAATGAAGATGAAACCCGCTCTGGTGCCAATTGAAATTTGATACTTGAACCCCAAGTATCCAGAGTTGCACGTAAATCGAATAGACAGATAGTAATGAAGATTTAAATAACTGCGGAAGCAGTTTTTCACTAAAAATTGTACCTTCAGGAGAGCATCCCACTCTCCCTTCAGATCTCTTTCATTAATGTGAACAACTCATACATCATCCAAGGGTTTACAGTATAGACTCCCTCTACACTCTACTTGAATAATGATTCACACAACTACTTATCCGACCACAACTCCCTTGTGGATTTTCTAGTTCGAATCCCTCGAAACTATAAGAACGAACCTCCGAAAGTTCTTTTACAACGAGTTCTGAATATCACCCTTTTCACTCAAGGAAAAAAAAATATCTAACTCAAAAAATTAAGATTAAAAAGTCGTCCTCAACTCTGGTCTAGTCATCCTTTTATCTACAGCACCCTTTGGAAAGTCTTCTCATCCAAGACAAACGCAGATAAGGAATGAAAATCTCTTGAACTTTTTCTTCTTCGTCGATTATGGAAAGTGCATCTCTCCCTCAATCCCAAAGTCCAGCCAAAATAATAAAATAAATAATTAGTCCTTTGGACTTAATTAAAATTAAGACTTATTCATACCAAAAATAAACTTCCCTTAAATACTTCCGTAAATTTCTGGATTCTGCGAACATCAGAAGGTTCATCGATTTACTGCCAATCTTCAGCACTTACATCAATTTCAAGTACTTACTATTTTCTGTCTAAGAAAAAGCTATTTTCCTTGGATGTCTGTGGCAGTAGTTCTATGATAGGCTAAAGATCTTCCTAGATCAGGCAGAGACTTTGGAAACTGAAGGTGGTGAATAAGGTTAGAATCATCATTTGGAAATGTCTCACTGGAGCTTTACCAGTTAAAACTAACCTGAAAAGAGAGGTATGCACATTGATGTCATTTGCAGCATTTGTGGAGATGGACCTGAAACTGTAAACCAAGTCTTATTTCATTGCACTAGAGTAGTCAGCTTGTGGACCATTTCTCCAGTTACTTGGAATATGCAGCCTAATCAGGATTCTACTTTCAGTTGCTGGTGGCATTATATTTGTTCTGTTGGCAAATCAGAGACTTCAGAGGCACGAAGTCAACTTACTACATACATCATCTGGTGGCTCTGGAAGACTCACAATCTCAGCCTCTTTCAAGATATTCTCCTTCCAATCCATATCACAGTCAAAGTTGCACATCAAGATCGACAGGATTTTGTTCAACTAAAGTAATGCTATGTCCCATTTTATTTCCTTTTTAGTTGGTTGTTGTATAAGAGGTAGTAGTCTTCTGGTTTTATTTTTTTTTTCTCACCACTAGGCCTTTAGGTAGTGGAGTGTGTTTTTTTTTTTTT